GCTCAGGATGTTGATATTTAGTTAGTAGCATATGCTGGGATCAAGGACTACTATGTTTGTTAAAGTGAATGACTTTGACTTATATTCAAGGTCACAGGGGTCAAATTTGTTTAAAATCTTTAAACAACCTCTTATGAATAACCATGGGTCCCAGGATGTTTATACTTTGCAAGTTGCATCCTGAGATGAAAGCCTATACAATGTGTTCAACATAATGACTATGTTCGACTTTCAATCACAGGGGTGAAATGTTTAAAAAAAAAATAACAGGGTCTTTTGAACGAATTTTAATCATAAATACTGATATTTTGCCTGTAGCTTTATTTTAGATCACTTTTAAGGTTACAAGCGTGAGTTTTATACCAGGTGAGTGATGCAGGCCCATTGGGCCTCTTGTTGAATAAAAGCATTTGTTTAAATCAAGCTAAAAAAGTTCATACATGTTTATCAAAAAGAATTTAGTAACAAATAAATGTTGTTCCAGGTGGCTATCCACAACAGCCTCAGCCAGGAGGTGTGCCATATCCTCAGGCCCCTTACCCAGGACAACCTGGTCCCTATCTGCAACAGCCAGGGTATGGACCACCACAGCAGCAGTATGCACCGCCCTCTCAAGGCTACCCCCAGCAGCAGTATCAGCCCTACCCTCAACAGGGATACGCCCCTCAACCAGGTAAGCACTTATTAGTGTTACAGTTCATATTTCATGTTCAGTGCGTATGTTTAAACAGACCTTAACATGAGCAAACCTTTTTTATGTCCCAACTATTGTATAGAGACTCAGAGTTGTATGTATTTTCCCATGTCTGTCCTCACCCATCCTGTGAAAATTCAGAGTTATCTCTCAAGCGACCTTATTTCTTAATAGATAAAGTATTTTATCAAGTGTTAGCAAAGGTCAGGTATGATATCTTTTGAAAGGACTTATTTACCTTTTCCAAAAGTCACAAATGACTGTCCTTGGCTAACCATAAAAAATCTGCTTTTTTTTCTTCTGACCAAAAATATCACTGTAGCAGTGCCTTTACCTCTTGATCATGATCATAGAATGATTAACTGATTATTGAGGAAATTTCTTTGAAGCATCTAATGCCAGTTTTGAAGTTGTATTTGACATTATAACCTGATATTTACATTTCCACTGCACAGAGCCTAGATGTTTCTACCTGCCCAATGTATGTTATTTCCGTATAACATACATTGGGCTATTGTGACGTCACTACGCTTATGACATCATAACTGTAACGTTGGAGATTGCACTGCTCCACTGTCAACTGGTGGCTGTTCTCTGTATGCAATTACCCTGAAGTTGAAACATGTTCAGACTAATATTATGTCTTTATTTCTGCGTGAACTGTAAGTTGATTAACATAAAATGTAAATATAAGTATTGGTTGTCATATTTTTGACATGCATTAGTGTGTAACATACATTGGCTTACCTACATATTTAACATGGTGCGCTAGCTTAAATATTCTGTGTGAAGTCCATCTATGGAAGAATGAACATTTCCTTTCTTATAAACAATTAACTGCACATAGGTCTCAACCAAATTGTCTATTCCAGCTTGGAGATCATCCAATTTTGATTTAGCAGACATATACTTAATTTTTTTCAGCTTATGGCTGCCAACAGCAGCCAAGATATGCACCCCCTCCCCAACAACAACAACCACAAGTAGTGTATGTACAGCAGGGAGGTAAAAAGAAGAGCGGCGGTCTAGGTGGTCTTGGAGGAGGTAACACCACTAAAATAGCAGCAGGTAAACAAACAGAATATTTTTGAATGGGTGAGATTTATGGCTCACGTGGCGTGAGTCATGTTTAAGCGTGAGTAAGGTCGTCTCAGCGTGACAAATGCGTGAGATTTTGTCTCACGCTGTGAGACTTGGCAACCCTGCACACTACTGCAGCATTGTTTCAGTGTATCATAGGCCCTTAAAGACTTCATAAATTGTTGATAGTCCCTTAATGACTTAATAAATTGTTGATAGGCCCTTAAACAATACAAAAAGAAAAGATCATCTTGATTCAGTGAGACAAAATTACTGCAACAAAAAGCAATATAATACTTGCCAACTTATTGAAATATCCATGGGGGAGATTCTGCATGCTCAAAATTAAAACATCAATAAAATGTGTATATATACCCCCTTGAGGCAAAATAACCCTTTAAAATGTTTTGAGTTTTGAGGAAATCATTAGATCCTTAGAATATAGCAATAGTTAAGCAAATTCACTGGTTGAACATTCTAAAGTTAAGGGTCCAGAATTGGGAGTCTCCTTCCTAAATAGGGAAAGTTGGCAAGTATGCCATATAACCACATGAACAACCAAAATATACACAATGTTCTTGATTTCACACTTCTAGTTTACCTTGACTGGATGAATTCATCAATTCAAAAGCATCTTGAATTCAAGAGGAAAAATGAAATTGGCTTCTTGATTTTTAAGGTCACCTGAGACAAAGTCTCACCTATTGTGATCGCCTTTTGTCTGGCGGCGTCCGTCGTGCGTCCGTAAACAATTTACATTTTAATACATTTAATACATGGATTAATCATTGGTTAATAATGTGTTATAATTATTTTCCTGCAGGTTTAATTGGTGGTGCTGCCCTTGGTTATGGTGCATCGAGAATGATGGGAGGTGGTTTAGGTGGTTTTGGAGGATGGGGATTTGGTCACCATGGCAGCTGGAGCTCTCTCAGCAGTTTTGGAAGTTGTGGAAGTTTTGGTAGCTTTGATTAAATGTGTAGGATATATTTCTGTATTTTAAAGCTTCAGTTAAAAAAGCCAGTTTGAAATTGCTTCCTGTGGGAGCCTGATTCGTTTATTATTAAAACGACTTCATCTTATTTCATCAATAATAATAATAATTTGAGGTTCTTATATACCGCTTTATCACAACCTAGTTTGTAGATCGTCTCAAAGTGGTTCACAAATTATTATTCGTTGCAACCAGCCAATATCTTTCTGAACTCCCTGGGGAGCATACAACCAGAGCTGCCATTTCAGTGCTAACAGCTAGCATTCAACCGTTCTAGCACTTCCAAACCACGTACTCATTTACAGCTGAGTAGACTGGAACAAGCAGAGTAAAGTATCTTGCTCAAAAATACAACACAGTGCCGTGCCGTGACTCGAACCTGCAACCTTTCAGTCACGAGCCCGGCGTCCTACCACTAGACTATTGTGCCTCACAGCATCAAAGAAGATTTCAGAGTGAATCGCTTTCATGTGATAAAAACTTAGATTAAATAGAAAAATTCCCTTTGAGAATAAGAGTTGAAGCAGGGTCTGACATTTAGAAAATAGACCTTTAATAAAACTTTAAAAAAAACACAAAACTTTGTGTGAAAAAAGCAAAATTTTGAATCTTAACATGATTTTAAGGAAGGAATAAGTTTAAATACCTTGCAACTGTTTAAACCAGTCCCTGGTCCATGGAAATCAAAAATAGTAATTTCTATAATAGAAGGGTGCTTTAAGGCAAACACTGTATTTTATGTATAACAAAATTAATGTATTCCTCCTTGAAGTTTTCTCTAAAATACAGTGCCTCCAATGGGTTGGGATGTTTCATAGAAATTGCCCTTACTTCATGACTGCATAATCAAATTTGTTACTAGCATTGATGTGTACCAATATTCACCTGAACAGGGGAAAAATCATTTCCAATTTTCAGAAATTTATTCTTAGTACATGTAGCTAGTTTGAAGTTTAAATAGCTTCACTTCAAAACTAAAAAATACTTTTCTCTCTAAATATGTCTAAACAGTATAATCTGTATTTACACAAATATCATATATTTCAGGTACATTTACATGTATGATATGCATAGGCCACTTATATGTATTTACTGATCTCAAACAATATATATCACAGGTATAGGTTTAATACATGGTTGCGATATACACAATATTGCCTGGGATTGTTTCTGTGATAGGATATGTAGAAACGTGATGAGGAAAATAGATGAATTAAAGTCCTCATTAGTGATAAGTTGATATTTTATAAAGGTTTTAAATTTTATCTTAAATACTTTCTTCGCCATTGAGACATGGTAGAAATATTGATTTGTGATCAGGTAATCACTTTTTATTGCTTTTAGAAAAAATGGCAATACACCGTACATTTCTTATGGAGTTGTTTCCCTTGTCAATTGTGATATTGTAGTTGAGATCATGTTTGTGTTTGAAAGACTTCAGAAAAAGCATTATTGTATAATTAACGTGAATAAAAGTTGATATTTAGTAAGGTAGAGTGTATCTAAACACTAAATATCATTTATTGTATAACAATGTATGTTAATTATAGTAGTCAATAACTGAAAATGTAATAGAAGTGTACAATTAAAAGTTAGAAATGTAACCAGGTATACAATGTACGTACATGTAGTTTTCCTCACAAGAAAATCTGAGTGGCGACAGTTGTTTGAAATATGAAAATCATCATTCATGTACCCATTACCTTGTAAATGCTGGGGTAGATCAATTACTGTATGGTGAAGGTCACACATGTGATATTATTAGATAGTTTCTTATCACAAATTCACAAGTGTACATGTGTTGGTAATGCCTGCCTTTGTTGTGTACCATTATGATTATTTATGATGCAGCAGGGTGATTTTACTTTTGTTGGAGCGAATCTCAATGAATCATTAGAATGAGAAATGGTTTAGCATATTAAAGAAATATTGAGCATTCTGAAATTTTTAATACAGAAAGTTGTAAGTGATAGTTTTTTATACCGTATATCATTATACCTCAGCAGTATCTTGCTGTGGATTTATATGCGTTTTTATTTAAAGGAAGGTAACCTAGCATCAAGACATTTGTTTATATTGGTTTCAGTTACATATATATAGGATCTTAAATGAGTTTTCATTTCATATGAGATTTTATGAAACGAGTCTTAGGAGTTTTTATTTTTGCGAGCCTTGGCGAGCAAAAATTAAAACTTTGAGAGGAGTTTCATAAAAGCTCATATGAAACGAAAACAAATTTAAGATAACTTTTATCACATAACTCAGAAAACTTACATTTTGACAGGTTTTAAAGCCAAAATGTAGAGGGCTTGATCAAACGGAGACAGCCATTTTGTTGAGCCATTCACAATTTATGACGTCACGTCATTGTTCATATTATGACGTCACAATCAATTTCTGACTGGCACAGCCAATGAAAAACGCTCCAGGGTATATTACACTAGTGACATATTTAAAAATATTACACGGGCGAATTCACTGGATAACAGGCCGATTATGTGATTTAGATTTAGATTCCTGCTGGTTGTGTTCAGAACTTTCAAATAACTAGACTTTAATTTGTAAATTATGTCATATTAAAGGATCCCTGTACCACTGCCAAACAACTGTAACTGTACATTGGAAACTTCTTTTTCCAGACTATAGCTTTGATAAATCATTTGAGTAAAGAAAACCATAACTTGCAGAACTTTAAAAAAATATTTATATAAAGATGAAATTATTAAAAAGAAATAAGAACCAGCAGTGTTCTGAGGGAGGTTACTGTATGTATGAAAAACTTAGAGTGGAATTCTGTTCTGGTTGACCTGCAGTGGGACAGGGATCCTGATGATCTGTTGTTGACCCATTCGATTGCTTACAAGTAAGACACGTTGATTGAATCAATGATGCTAATGGGTTAAACTATTTTAGAAGATTTAATCTGCCCAGTACTAGAATGACAGCTAATACTCAGTAATATGTAACTGTAGTTAGATTATTTTAGAAGATTTAATCTGCCCAGTACTAGAATGACAGCTAATACTCAGTAACATGTAGCTGTAGTTAGATTATTTGCCATATTATTGTAAAAGATCTGCATTGATTAAGATTGCCTTACAAGCGTCAGCTGTAGGGAATTTCCCTTTAGCTCTGCAGTAGAGCATCAGACTGGAGAGCCAAGGGTCGCGGGCTCGAGCCCCAGCGAAGGCACTATCTTTATCATTATTCCTCGTCCTACTACATTATAAGATCTGTATATACACTGTGCTTTGAGAGACATAGCGTGTATTCTATAGGTACATGAAGTAACCTTTGTACTTTTGGTGTGTCTGTTATATCACTAACAAAATATGTATTATTTAATGCCGACAGATATTAGGAAAACATCACATGTTGAGTTTATTTTAATTCATAACCTTATGTCTTCCTTAGTTTTACTTTTCTGTTGGTTAAGGATATTGTAAGTTGTTTTACAGCATGATTTACAGTTAAGTTTCATTCACAGGGGAGAGGGGGGGGGGGGGAATAATCACCCTCCCTTTTGGGAAAATCCATGCTGCAAAATTGTATAATACCAAACTTCACTGCTGTCTTACTAAAGGTGTCTGCAACTTGTTTATGTCTAGGTTCTACACTACTGCAAACAATTGAATTTAAGGACGGTTTCTAAATGTTTGCAATTTCATGTTGTACCCCCAGCAACGCTGTGGCTCTGTGTTGAACACATTGTGATGTTGATTAAAAAGTGAATACCCAGTAACTGAATGTCTAATTTACCGCAGAATAAAAATTCTAAATAAATCGGGATAAAAATCTGCTAAGTTTTAATCACATCATAAAATAACAGTTACTATGTCCTTGTTTGACTGTTGAAGTCAAAAGCATGTATATAATGTAGAAATTAGCCATCTGTAGCTTTAGATAAATTTTAAGCCTTGATGTATATTTATTTGATTATTTAACCTTATGTCTTAACAATGACCTGAAAGTCTCTGTATGGTTGTAACAGACTCCTGCCCTTAGAGTCTCAGTAAGGTTGTAACTGACCCTTGAACATAAAAGTCTCAGTAAGGTTGTAACTGACCCTTGCCGTTAGAAGTCTCAGTAAGGTTGTAACTGACCCTTGCCGTTAGAAGTCTCAGTAAGGTTGTAACTGACCCTTGCCCTTAGAAGTCTCAGTAAGGTTGTAACTGACCCTTGAACATAAAGTCTCAGGTCTGTTAGTGTGGATGTGTGGTAGATTTATGACCTTGAGGTCATGATTCTTGTGGTAGATTTATGACATTTAGGTCTGTCTGATGTTAGTAACCTACGCTACCCATGACCTTGAGGTTAGGATTGTTGTGGTAGTGATATGACCTTGAGGTTTGTCTGGTTAGTTGTAACTTACCAATGACCTTGAGGTCAGGATCGTTGTAATAGATTTCTGACCTTGATGTCCTTATGGTTGTAGCTACCCTAGTTTCTTTGACGCTTAGGTCTGTTAGTGTGGATGTAACTCACCTTTGACCTTTATATCGGTCTGAGTTGTTAAGTTAGGTCTATATAGTTTAATGTAGTGACTCATGATTTTAAGATCTCCCAGTGTGGTAGTAGCTCACCTGTCACTTTCACACCTACCAGGATCAGTTCACCCTACGTTTTATCTTCATCAGATGGGTAGTAAGTAGCTGACGTTGAGGTCTGATCAGGTTGTTGTAATCTTTGTGTGACATTGTTCTCAGTAACAGTACCTGTTTAAACTCTCCTGTAAAGTCAGTGGAGCAACACTGCACCTTCATACAAGTGCGTTGATTACTCTCTGTTGTTTTATTCAGCTTATTGAATTTTATTTGTCCAAATTAAATGCGTTTTTTATATCACAATAAAACAGATAAACCTTTACAATATCTTTTTTGTTTTCATTTTTATTTAAATATGTTGTTCTTAATATGTCTAAACAGAAACCTCTGCCTTGGGATCATGAAAGAATTTAGATTTCAGTCCAATTTTGAAATGTGTTTAAGTAAGATGGACACTAGCTATTGTGCTTTTTTAGTTTGTATAAAAGAAAGATTTAGCATAGGTGTACATAAAAACCATTTACAATGTAAACAATTTCACCCAATTCAGACCTGTAAGAAACTGTATTTTATAAGCTATAAGGTCAAGCTTTTGGCACGGCGCAGCATTAACAATCGGTCAGTCATCATTTAATATTAGCTTCAAAAGTCTGCTTTTCCAAACAGCTGCACAGAATGATAACTGGGACAATGTGATCATTTACTAAGTAAATCAATTTAAGGCCCCACCATTGTTCCTTTGAAAGCCTATACTTTTCCCAAATGCCTGCTTCCTTTGTCACCAAATGGTGTGATTGATCACAAGCGCAAAGCAAATATTCCTTAAATATATGAAAATGGTGCACATAAACATATGAATGCCGGATGGGCAGGCAAAATTTTGGGTTTTGATTTAAAAGCCTATTCCACCCATTGATCATATCATAGAAACTGACTTCAACCATACATACAATTGCTGGGCATGAACTGATAAATAAACATGCTATCATGATTGGCACTGGAGTGTAACCCTGTCCCTGGTGACTAAGTCCTTGAATCATATATCAATTACATGCAAACCATTTAGATCTCCCCCCTACAACCATACAAACACAATCTTGCTGTAAGGATTGGCTCTAGGGTTTTGCTCTCTGGTCATAAAATTGAAACTATTAATATCTTTAATGTTAGCCATATATATACAAATGCTAGGCATGAAGAGACAGTGCACTGATGCTACCCAAGTCTTTTTGTCATACCCTGAAAATAGTTGAGGTCCCCACCCTACATCAGCTACCTTGGATGTTCTGGGGTCCTGTCAGCCCCTTGGGACTTGATCCTAGGGTAATTAATCAGAACTAGTTGTGTTTCCCGTCCTATAACTATGTGCTTGGTTTGCATAAAGAAGCAAACACAATCATGCTTTCAAAATTAACCCAGGGGTCTGGCCCAATCCCTGGAGCCTTTGTCTCTAGGTATTAACATACAAATGAAAATATTAAAAGTTTTGCAATGATTGCTTAAATACCTATGCAAGTGATACCATCCCTCTGAGCCTCTTGTTGATATTCCAATCTTAAACATAATTCAAGTCTGTTTAATGATCTTGGGGCCTGGACAATTTTGATGGTCTTAAATGCACCCAAAAGTTTGATATTGTTAAAAACGTCCGATCAGCTAGATCATAATTCATATTATCATATGTACATGTATAAAAATGTTGAATACATATTGTTTGAAATTGTGAGATGCTTTATTATGTATATCTGTTTCATAAAAGCATATTGTGTAGTTATATATTTGCAGACAAAAGAAATTTACGATGTATTAACCCTTTCACCAAGGTACACCATAATGGACTTGTCCAGATCAATGCATGGTTGAGTCTACTAAAGTTGTAAAGGGGTGCAAGGGTTAATATTAAATGGTACTAAAAAGTAGCATCAGCTTCAGTGAGATTTGTAGTTCTGTCTCAAAATGGAAGAAAATAATGTTGTGTAATATCAACCACTACTTGGTTATTAACAAAAACAAGACATCTTATTTTTACAGTAAAACAATTTATTTATATAACAATATCATAGAAGGAGAAGGCCTTGTAGCTCCAGTACTTTTGGTCCTGGAACACCAGGAACGTATAGATGTTGTCACCACAAGTGAGGAAACCGTGCTCCTTGGTTTCCCAGGATACCGGTGAGTCAAGGAGACCGTGTACCGTCAGACATGCCCACGGTACTTTGGACTTCTGTATGTGATTTCTGAAAAGTAAAATACATATATTAGAACCTGTTCAGAAAGACCACTCTTGCTGCCTATAAAAAGTAGTGTTGTATGCTTAACATGTTCAGGAAAGTAATAAACAGGAGTGTCCAGTTAAGATCCAGTACAGTGTATATCTGGTCACAGCAGTGTCCAGTTAAGATCCAGTACAGTGTATATATATAAGATGATACTAAAATCTCATAAACACACTTTCAAGTCTTCTCATTATTTTGAATTTTATAACACTTTACATATATATATACAATGCACATAATGTATTCAATCCAATGAGTGTAATGCTAGCCAATATTACAGGTAACTGCTATGGGGAATTCTAGATATGAATTTAGGGAGAGGGAGGAGATAGCTTTATGACTAAGGCTGAGCTACAGGATTGTGCTACCTTAGTTTTCACCATCATTTACAACAATAAATTACTTATTTCATTTATCTGACCACATACTTTTAGATATCAACAATTATCAGTTTTGACATCAGTTTTTATAGCTACACATCTACAGAACTATTTTTTTAAAAGATCTATTATTGAGAACTTTGACAGTTAGATATGACAAAGGAAAAGTGATTCACAGTTGGACTTTTTTCCCATTTCTTCATGGCCTGCAATGATAAAGTCATCTGGACCAACAAATGTACAGATATCTAAATATGTTGTTGACATCAATGTTCGGTATACCTGACTTCCTCCAACACTCTTTGTATGGTGCTGGGAGAAAAGAAGCCCTTGTACTGTAAATACACAGAATGTTCAACTTCCTGTGTCGGCCCTGGGTAACTGTAAGTCGTAGTGTAGTTATCTGGCTCAGCATTCCTATAAACAAAAATATGTACAGTTCATTTACACCGGACATAAACAGAATGTTCAACTTCCTGTGTCGACCCCGGGTAACTGTAACCATTCCTATAAACAAAAATATGTACAGTTCTTATACACTGGACATAAACAGAATGTGTCGACCCCGGGTAACTGTTACCATTCCTATAAACAAAAATATGTACAGTTCTTATACATTGGACATAAACAGAATGTGTCGATCCCGGGTAACTGTAACCATTCCTATAAACAAAAATATGTACAGTTCTTATACATTGGACATAAACAGAATGTGTCGACCCTGGGTAACTGTTACCATTCCTATAAACAACAGCATGTACAGTTCTTATACACTGGACATAAACAGAATGTGTCGACCCCGGGTAACTGTTACCATTCCTATAAACAACAGCATGTACAGTTCCTTTACTTGGAGAAATGAGAAGTGATACTAAGCAAAATCTACTTTATATTTAAAAGAGGTCCATGGGCCTGGATAACTCATCTGTTTTTCCTCAAAATATTTCAAATCGACAATAACAAGGGGAGAACATATTCCAGTTAAATCACCTGCTATAATATGAATATTCCCATTCATCCATTTAGGTATAAGCCACTAGCCAAACATCACCCAGAGGTCTCATGGTTACAAGTTTCAAATTTGTAATACTCTTGATTATTGTGACTTTGAAAGTGTGCCAAGGTCACTCATTTGAACAGACCTGAGAGCACTTATCTGAGCAAGCTAGAAGTTCTGTATCATTATTCTAGGCACCATTGAACCCTACTCCAACAATGTTAGAGGTTTTACACGGTGAAAAACTTTTGACAGGCGCCGCGTAGCAGTCGGCAAAATCATATCCGATTGAAAAAAGGCCGACCAGCGGCCTCTCATGTTATGGGAGTACATTGAACCCCTAGTAACCTTCAGAGTTGGTAAAGGTCATTCACTTGGTCATCATCACTCTTAATAACATGGTTTTGTAGAATTCAGTTAATGTTGTCTTTCTCAAATTAAACCTATGTGACTTTGAATGTGAGTCAAGGTCATCTACTTGAATACACTTTATAGCCACCCCCAAGAGGGGGAGAGGGCATAGTAGGTTGAAAGAACTTGTGCGCAATCCCTTTGACTATTCAGTGTCAATAAAATATGTTTGAATGAGCCACCCACGAAAACTTACAGTTTAAATACAATTACTCTGGATATCATGGTTTATTACAAGAAGTTGTATTAAAAAGTTGTAATGCATTTGACACCTGTGAACTTGACAAAGGGTCAAGGTCTTTTATTTGGGCCAAGTTGTGAGCCCTTCACCCCACTAGACTACAAGACATGCTAATGCCAAATACAGTTATGTGGCCGTACAACACATCATAAATAGTGAGCGCACATCATATACACATCCTCCGCACAACTGTGCGACTTAACAATCGTTAACCCATTGTGCACTTATGTCCACAGATCTATGATTTGGTACAATTTATTAATCAATAATACAGAACCACAATCATAGCAAAGGTAGCAACCAAAGGTATTTATCACAATTTTCCTTTAGCAGTATGCATGACAAAATACCAATCCAATCACTGAAAACTTACAGACACGAGTTAACAGCAACCCCTCCCAGCCACTCGTACACGTCATCGTGGTCATACTCTCGTGTGTCGGAACAGTCCATCTCCGCGTCCAATGTGGGCACCTGTAGGTGTTTTAACAGTCTCTGCTGACACCTCACATTTGTCTTTAGACAAGTGTGACCCTTAACCTGGAAGTACTTCTGTAAAGAGCTGGGGCACAGTGCATCATCTGACAAAGAAATCAGTCTGATTGTGAAAACTTGCAAAAATATTTACACGCAATAATGATATTGAACATCAAAATGAACCAAAGACAGAAACCACTAACAACCATGCCCTGACTTGTGTTCTTTCACAATTACTTGCCCAACATGACCATGTGTCAAACATTAAAAGGTGAACAGAACATGACATACAAGTCCACTAACCGTTTGGACTCCATGTCATGATGACGTCAAACCGAATGTCAAGTCGATCTCGTAGACAGCGAAACACTCGTTGGTACTTTTTCTTTTCTGGTCTGAAGCATTTCTCCAAGAGGTTAATTGTCACCACTGTTAAACAATACAGTAAAATTAACTGTGATGTAGACTAATTCTGATAAAGTTAAAAATATGTTTTTATTTCAGTCTATGAACATCAGCACTCTTTTCGGGCGATTAATGACATGAAGAATACATACTTATCAAAAAAGGAGCCATCTTTTACCGGCTAAGTGTTGTTGGCTCTAGTCATAGGTATCAACTGAAACACAGGTATGTTATAAAACCCACTTGTACAAATACACTAACAAATCCCTAATCTATGTGTGTAACAAAGTAATTTCTGTTGCCCATTATAACAGATTACTCCTAACCATACAACTCTATCACAAGCTCATTTCTTAGAACTTATTTTCTGAGAAATACTTAACTTCAAACACTTGAAGTAGTGTTATAATAATGACTAAAAGTCAAAAGTTGAAGGAGTAAAATTTTGACTGAAAACTGAACTATGAACAAACTGGATGTAGAGTAATGTTGATTAAAATACTGAACCTTGAACAGTACTCTGTATTGTTTTTTACTTTGACTTTATCGTACCAAATTACAGATACCCTAACAAATATCTTGAAGCAATCTGCATAATGGCATTACCAAACTTTTCTGGATTCCTATGAGGAAACTCTGCAGGCTTTCCTTCCAAGCCCAAGCACTGGTAAGTGTCTTTAGTCAGATGGAGAATTAGATGACCTGGAATTCAAAACAAAAATCTATATCCTGTAGTTTTAAACATGTGAATGAATGTAATATCTGTGAGAATATAGAAGAAAATATTGACTTCTTTGATAACTCTCAACAGCACATCAACATAATAAAGTGATATATGGCTACAGTACAAACTGGATAAAAAGCAGGTGTACTGAGAGACACATAAAGTTAGAAAATACAGTGGTAGTATAAAACTACTGTAGATACTATTATGGAACAATTTAACATCTATTTGGCACCACACTGAGGTATACTCTTCAATATTCTATGCATGTAATGAATTACTTTTGATACTTTCAATTTTGATCCTTGGCAAGAATTCAAAATGTATCTTTGAATTAATCCTATCTTCCTCTTCTATAGCAGATATTATACCATGTTTTGAATACCTGTTTAAACTTTTCAAAAAACTATCCAATCAGAAGCCATGGTAGCTACCTCAGATTTAAATTGGCGCCAAACTGTTGAAAGTTCAGATCATCTACTGTGACTGTTGCCTGTCAAAAGTCACTATTACATTGCTGCAACCATTCAAAAGACTATGAGGTATAATGGACAAAAATGAAAAAAAAAAAGGATTTTATTTAAATGGAGTATCTAAAACAGCATCACTGTTAATTACGCTGCCTAACAGCCATCATCATGTTCTGTTTTTGAAATCAAACCATGTCATTGATGTACCTAGTAAATAATCACAAATCAGAAATATTTTAGTTTATCTATTCTTACCAGTACTTTGAGGTATTTACCTGTGAGAATTGACCTTTACCTATTAAATATTCCTACCAGTACATTGAGTTACTTACCTGTTAGAAGTGACCTTGACCTGTTCCTACCAGTGCATTGAGTTACTTAATCTACCAGTGCACTGAGTTACTTACCTGTTGGAAGTGACCTTGACCTGTTCCTACCAGTACATTGAATTACTTAATCATTGGAAGTGACCTTGACCTATTCCTATCGGCACTACATAGAACTACTTACCTGTAGGAAGAATAGCCACACAGTCTTCAATGTCAATGCGAGTCTTGTGGGACACCAGACACAGACGACCTTTTAGTAGGAAAGCAAAACTAGTCTAAGAGTATTCACTTTTCAATTTCATTGATTTACAAAACAAAAATCTATCTTACATAGAGCTATTGATCAATCTATTGCATTTAATGCTATAAAGATTAAGGCTTACACTTAAAATTTTGATAAATGATTTAATATCACATGTGATAATACTCAGTGTTACACTAATACTCAGTGTTACACAATACTGGTGAAACTCAAACCTCAATGTAGAATTATTATTACTATTATAAAAATAATTATCATAAAATTCTGGAATTATTCTTCTTTAAAACATAACTCAAGCATTATTATAACCTGTTTTAATAAATGCTCCAATCAAATCCATGTCTATCAGTTCTAAGACGGACAATCCCTGTACTGTGTAGGATTTCTCATCCATACAGAGATTGTGGACAGCGTCAGGTACATTCTTAACATCTGGCAGTGTTAATCCCATCTACAACCAATCAAAAATACAGAAAAAGTCACAATACTCATGAAAGCTTAATTCACAGGAACAAAAAGAAAGAAAAAAAGATTAAGTCACAATAGAACCAACAAATACAAGTCAGTTATAGAACTCAATAGTTAACAGAATATATAATGAGTGGTCGGGAGGGAAGGGGGGGGGGAAGTGTTTTCTAAATCATGCAAGTTTGGTTCAGATATTTATTGAAACAAATGAGGAAAACCAAATGATGTTCATCTGATGCTGACTTGCTCATGAAAAATGATGTATATTAAAGCAAGTCTCAAATCTTTCTGTCTTCCAGTGATCACCAGTTTGGTTAAGGAAATCATTACACCCTACACCTGATCTATTTGAAAACATTGAACCAGATTATTTCAGATTTTATCATACTGAGTGTGAGGGTCCAAACTTGTAGCCTCATCGCTATAATGATCGTGTCTTATTAACGACTGCTGTTTTAGTGACGTCAAACAATGAGCTTTTTTTTACATCTCTCCGAAAGAAACTTTGAAGTTGAATTTGGGTGTCTCATTTTAATTTTGATTGCATTGTAATAAAAGGGGGATTGCCTAGTTAGTTACATTTTTGTAAATACTCTATTTTTTCCAAAGCAGTTTGTACGGGTAATTTACATTTTTGTCATTTAATTGATATTAATGAAACATTACATTTGCTATTTCCTATTATTTCTCCCATAAAGCCAGGTTTTCAAACAATAGTGTCATGGCATTATGTGCCATTTATATTATTAATGTACAAGTTCAATCACAGAATTAAATTTTTAACCGCACTATAAATACACACACCGCACTGTATATACACAAACCTGACTGTGCATACACCTATACGCACTTCACCTGCTGCCACGCATGTACAGTTGCACCTGTTCGGAATAATTCCCAGAGGATTGTGAACAGTATACAAGATAGATAGATAGAAAATAGATCAAAGTCAGTACTAGTGGTTCAATGATCATGAATATACAGATAATATTAAAGGTTTATCAGCTGTTTATGTTCTATCAAATTCTGTCCTAGAAGCCGTCGTCTCAAAGAAAATTTTGTGAAGGGAAGGATTGGTAAAAGGGTGAAGTCTTAGGTAGTCCGAAATAACTAAATATCTCATTTTTTAAATTTGATCGGAGATCGTCCATCTCCACCCAATGGCCAATCATGTTTTTTTAAATGAGATAGACTAGTTATATTATCGATTATTTGGGGGCTTGTTGAGCCTCAATTTTTTCTTCCTATGATCTACATTCATTGTCCGGGATTGATATGTTTCATCTTATTTGAAACATCATCCGTCCAATCATTTTTTTTTTGAAGAGAACCTGCAAACCGGCGTATCCGTCGAAACAGGTGACACTCAGAAAAAAGCAAGCATGAAATAAAACCATAACGTCCATCCAAAATGTATACCTACAGAACAATTGAAGTAATGATTCAATATTGTGTCTTTGTGTTTTGATTTTGTGTTCTGAAATGAAGAAGCCTCAAAAATTCTCTTTCCAAGATTTTCACGTTTCGAAAACATGGGCGCCGCCATGACACTTTTTAAGGTGATAGTAAAATCCGGAGACGAATCCGGAGTTGAAACCCGGTTGTGTTTGGTGTAACGTCAACGGAAGCGTTTTAGCTGCTTCTTAAAACGCTGCTTTGTTCCCCCACCGGGAACCGGGGGGACTATAATTTTGTGTCGTGTCCGTCCGTCCGTCCGTTATCTTGTCCGGGCTCTATCTCATACACTACTTGTCACTGGAACTTCATACTTGCAATTGGGGTATAGGTTCACCTTGGTGAGGCGGTGTGTCGTGTATCAAAAATAGGTCACACTGACCTACATTTTGACCTTTGACCTACATCAAAAAAAGTTTCTCCTACACTACTATAGTCATTGGATTTTTATACTTGGAGTATGGGTTCATCTTGGTGAGGCGGTGTGTCGTATATCAATTTCACAAAGTAGGTCACTCTATTTTGACCAGGTCACTGACACTATTCCTTATTGAATACGATGGGTCTGTCAAGCATTCATATATATAAAATTAGTTCCTGCACGAATTTATAATCTGTGCATTACACATTCGGTGGGAGACTATAATTCGCCGAATTGTCTTGTTATATATACGATCCGCGGCTTTTTAGATACATATATTAGTGGGTGTATTTTTTTTACAGACAACATTTTTTAGTTGATTCATCACTTTATTATTGGAAAGCATTGCAAAAATTCAATTGTATTTCAAATGCGAAAGACAGCTCTCCTTTTTTTCTCCGACAAAAATGTGTCGATTGTTGGAATTACCCGAAAATATCCGTTGCGTCATATCTCTTTCCTGATGAATCTAAGTTAACTAGATATTTAAAATGTCGGAGCCAATATAAACAGATTAATTTCAGATTTTTTGCCCTTGTGTCCCCCAAACCCTTTTTATATCATCAACATTTCTCAGAACATAAGATGACGGTAGCTCCTATATCGATGTTTAGATATATGTATACATATATATCCAGTAGCTCTACTGAAGATAGGCCTAGGACTACTCTGAAAAACATACTTTATCAGTTCATGACAGGGACAAATGAAGGGCAGGCCTATATAATGTCACATATTAGCAAAAGCCTGTTATTCGGAAGACCTTTAATTGGTGAAAAAAAATACACAAAAACACATCCATTCCGGAAAAACAACCTGCCTCCGTTGACTTAGTTGTATTTCATTACAATCGCATGTTAAAATGTTGACGTGTATGGAACTTGAACACGTGAGCTTTTTCCCATCTTTTTGACAGGATATCGATATACACCTTCACTTTAGTAAGACGAATATCGGCCTCGCTTGTATTCCCGATATCACGGGTAACAACAGTCAGACTCAGGGAGGGACCCAGGAATTAATTTTGGGTGTTGCCCAAAATTTTAAACTCAGAAGACTCAAAAAAACTAATAAATTATAATTGTCATCTCGGTTGTACATGTATACTACTTTCTGGCACCAAACAATATATAGAACTTCATTATATCTGAGATTGTGACATTTATAATTTCTCTGCCGAGCGGAGGGAGGCGAATTCTTTTTTTGAAGATGTAATACTAAACTTGCTCAAGCACTGTCAAGCGTAGAAAGCTAGAATTTATCGGACATTATTTCCATTGTGAAACAGATCGAATAAGGCATAGAATAGTTTTCTGAGTTTGCGGTATTATTCCAGGTTATATTTTATAACATAGAGTATTCATATTTTATGATGGCCGAGCGGAGCGAGTGTTTACACATTTTCTGAAACAATGGTAAAAATGTAGGTTTTTGGTTAAAATGTTGATGTTTGTGTCATGTGCATGTAGTTTAGGCGAGGATTTTGGCAATTAAATATTGATTTAGTTTGTCATAAAAATGAATTATGATTTGACTGTTTTTATTGTGAATTTGTATGTATGCATATGTACAAGGGCAACACCTGTTAAAAAGGATATATATACATGCCAGGCTTTTATGCTAACATTGGTTATTATTCACCTGATAACGTGATGCTTAGGTGGATGCTTTACTGTCTTTGAAATTTTTGACATTTACATTTTTTAACATGTATAATAAATCACTCCTGTTGATCATTTGTACATGAAACCAAAGGTAAAAATACAGGTTTATAAATCATGAAATGGACTCTACCTTTGAAATAACAAGTAACATATATACCTAATTCCAACAGATGGTTTTATCCTCTCTCCACGAACAGGGTGATCACCACACCATGACATTAGAACAATACAATTAGGTAGACAGTCCGTTGAGCCTTCACCACTGACCTGACTGGAGACCCTACTAATATATAGATATATTGTTTAGAGTATAAGTAGTGGACTCCTTGTTTGGGTAACTGCACACTTAGTTCACATGATGGTTGATATTAGAAGAAAATCCCATATGAAAAAGAGGAAAATCTTCAAAAACCTAAGTCCAGATTATTTTTGGACACAGAAAAAGGGTGTTGCCCGGGCAACTAGGGCAACACCCCTGGGTCCGCCACTGAGACTGATCAGAACTGTGTTTGGTCCGGCATTACTAGGCCCTAATAGTAATAGCCGTTTTAGACTCGTCGATGCCTAAGTTAATGTCGCAAGAGGATGTTGTTTCATGTGAACATTCAGCTGCTTGGAAGATGTCATGTATCAACTTGTTCTTCGAAGATGATGCGGGTTTTTCGTTGGATTTGCAGCCATGCATGTTTCCGATGTTGACAACTTTAAAAGTACTAATTATAAAATCGGCACCAGGTACCCTAGGTTGGAACTTCCAGATACGTAATGATTGTCGGCTGTCAGTTATACAGTTAAATCACGGACTTAGATAACAATCTAATTCCGTAGTTAAATTTAATATATTTTTTAATTGAACCACACTTTAATCACTTTTCCGAACTACAAAATAAATAAATAAATAAATAAAAATATGATAGTATATTTGAATTTTTGACGTGCATGCAACTGCTTATTTGCTTACGTGGCAGCTACGCGCCTGGTTCTAGTCATTGTCATCAGCTTCTTCTGATGCTGGTTTGATATGTGCTGGAGTTCCTCAGGGTTCAATTCTTGGACCTACAACACGTCTTTTTGCTGATGATACGTCTTTAAAAAGCTCTTCATCTTCTTGTCTAGATAAACAAACAGTTTTGAATAGGGACCTCGAAGCTTTGAATAGGCGGGCTAACACTTGGCTTGTTACTTTTAATCCAAATAAGACGGAAGTTATTTTCATATCAAATTCAAATGATATAGATGAAGATCTTCAACTGATTTTTGATGGAAATATTTTGAATTTTAACAGTATGCATAGACACCTTGGAGTTACATTCAATTCAGATGCAAAATGGTCAGATCATGTAAGTGAAATCAATAAATCGGTAATGAAAAAAATAAATATTTTGCGAAAAGTCAAATATATGTTGAAGCGGGATGCTCTCTTAAGAATTTACAAAACTTATATATTACCTGTTTTAGAATATGCATGTGAGGTTTGGGATGGTTGTACTCTGGTCGATTCTGAAAAGTTAGAGAGGGCTCAACGTGTAGTAGCTAGAATAATTACAGGTTTACCGTCATATGCTAGAAATGAATCATTATACACAGAAACTGGTCTTGATTTACTTTCGGATAGAAGAAGAAGACGAAAACTTTAGTTAATCTACAAAATAGATAGGCATCAAACCCCAAACTGCCTAACAAATCTACTTCCCACTAAGGTAGGAGAAAACCGACATGCTCTTAGAAATAATGATAACTACAAAATTCCCAATTTCAGACTCTCTACTACTAGTTTATCTTTCTTGCCACTCATTAAAAATGTGGAATACTCTAGACTATAATATTAGATCCATGTCTTTCTCATCTTTCAAATCAGCTCTAGTCCCCAACATACCATATACAGTACCCCCTCATTACCTACGTGGTGACAGAAAACTAAACATTCTTCATACCAGACTAAGACACGAATGCAGTCCTCTCAAACATGATCTATACCGTGCAAACTTGGTCCAAGACTCAAATTGTTTAAATTGTGGCTACCATTGCGAAAATGCCTATCACTTCTTCTTTGAATGTCAACCTTATACAAATGCTCGTACTGTACTTTTTGATCATATAGATCATTTAAATGTACATTTAACGTTGAGATTATTACTGTTTGGAAATGAAAATCTGGCTTTGGATACAAATTGTGATATATTCAAACAAGTGCAAACTTTTATTAGATCCAGTGGAAGATTTTAACATGTTTCGATTATGAACTTGACTTTAAAATATGTTTTTGTTTTTGTTTGTTTGTATGTGTATGTGTTACTTTAAAAATCGCTTCATACTACTATGAATTGTAATTGACAGTCTATATCATCATCTGTTGTTTTGAATTATTGTTGTAAGGAGATGGCTTCATAAGTTGTAATAACTTGTGCCAAATCCTATTTTCCAATTCTGGTTAATAAAATATGTTTAAAGTCAAAGTCATAAATTGTTAAGATTCTATTCAACGTTAACATGATTGATAGTTTGTTGTTCTTTTTATTGTAATTAATAAGTTGGGCTTGAAGTCTATTCAACACATAATTAGTGTTTTACGGACTAGTACAGACATGGAGAATAAGACAGAAAAGGCAGGAAAAGAGAAAGAACCTAGGAGTATTTCTCCTGATAAAGGTAGAGTATTTGCACATGTAATGCATGTCTTCATAAAAACGGCTGCATTGACAAGAAAGGGCGTTTCAAATGTTCCTCATAAGGTCCTGAATACTGATGTTTTACTTTTCAGGCGGGCCCATTATGCAATGTAGTCGCCTTGGATTTTTATCAGGCATTGCCAATTCCCTCAGGTGGCCGTTAAGCCCCATACACCTCTTGTGTCTACACACGATCGGATTGACGGCACATAATTACCGGTTGAATTATAGTTGCTTCGGAATAATTGACTACTCCTGCCTTTTCATGTTCATATCAATGCTAATATTATGCATGTGAAAGTTGCAGCACACACACTGCACATGTACATCTAAAATGGTGTGCCAAATGACATTCGTCCCTGTCGGCCTATTCGATTACTCGTGTTTGTATGCGGCGTTTTCGTGTTTTCAAGTTTCCTGCTCTTGGGATAGCATAGAAAGTGGCCAGGGAAGAACTTAGTAGAGATGAGAATTGTTTCGGGGAGGAATTAAAGAGTATTTTACACCTAGTATAGAACTAATTATAATTATTTAACATAACTTTATATTTCAAAATTATTTCCAAGTATGAAATCATCCGAGCTGTTTTTCCACATCAGAAGACATGTCTTTCAAAATTAGAAATCAGAAATAATCTGCATCCTCCTCGGCGATTAAATTCCCAACAGCCTTGTCTCTTTCTAGACAGATAATTCTGTGGGACTAATGAAGATTAGATTGGTGCTGATTTTATCCATTAATAACGGTTATTTGGACATTTGATCTCATTCTATGGTGTAATGTCCGTCATCTTTTCCATTAACTTTTGTTTTAAATGTAATTTTCAACAGTCAATAAACTAATTTTAACCAAACCTTGTAGTGAAGTAGCAATGAGTTCATAGGTGTTTGTATTTACCTAACGAAGGCATTTAAGGAAATCGGAAAAAAATATGACTTTTTGAAGTTCCCAAAAAATAGGGCATATCCTGAAAATCAATTATAAAAAATATAAATTGCGTTCCGACATCACTTTCAAGGCTCTGGAAATTGTCATAACATTTTTATTTATTTTAGATATCAAAAGCATCAACTATGAAACGATTTCTCTGAGTGGCCATTGCATTTACCATTGTAGCGCGTTAAAAGCCACTTCTAACGCGTACTTTTTTAACTAACGCGTTACTGTATATCGTTTTTGGCCCGAACCGCCACCCCTTTTTATCTACACGTGATGGGAACAAACGAGTGGAATTGTTTTAAATTTTTAAATCACATTTCTACACTGCTATGATTAAGTAAACAACGATGCATCAGGTGCCACGAGCTTGAACTAGCTTTCAACGATGTCACATCAGCTACCCAGTGGGTATTGTGATTGTTACTGTCGGTGTCCAATGTTACGTACTGCGGAACAACCGGCTTGACCGTTTATAAATAACTTATGTAACAATTTCGGTTATAAATCCTGACGGACCTGCAAATGTTTATGCAGGCCTTGCAAGGCTTTGTCAAGGCTCGCCTGAAAGCAGCATCAGATTACCTTATTTAATAAACGAACAACTGTGGTCCTAGGCCTATGTTTGGTTATGTAATGTTAAAAGTTCAAGTTGTCGGTGGGGAAATAGGATTACCGAGTAAACACATGCCCCGACCACGAGAGATTAGGCCTATCTGGAGCAGACGTCTGTATCTTGTGACAAACGGAATTGAGTAAGTTATTGTTGTATGCATGCCAACTGATCTACGTTTATAACATTTGTTTGATGAATAAGAATTTGTGAATAAGCGGTCAGAGCACGGACTCAAATAGCGAATCTAATTCGGTGGGCAGAGCTAGCAAGCGGCAATACATGTAGGTGGGTATGCTTAAAGTACACCATGGACCGAATTTACGCCATGTGATGTTATTAGTAAAATGAACTTTTGCACCCCACAGCAAAATGAAAGCGATGTATTCACCCAACAACTGGGGGTTTCCATATTTTTTTTTAGCATTATTGAGGCTGCAAAAATATCGATGTGTGCCTATTTATAAGGTTATGTAAAAAAAACCACTTGGTTTAAAGGGAAGTAACTCGTAATGACATGCTTCACCACAACATTAAGCAATACATATTTTTACCAAATGGAGAATGTTTTGTCTTCTATAAATTTATAAAGACAAATTGCTACGAACCGATATGTGACAATTAAAACAGTTTTTTTTATTCAAGAAAGGTTGGGTCCTAACTCCAATGCTAAAAATCCCATATGGCCTGATTCAGAGTAATTTTAGCACACTAAGGGGTTTAAAGATCATATGCCACTCGAATTATATCCGTATACATCGTAAGTTGATCTTAACCCTAAAATGTGTAAGATTGATCTGAACACCTTTGTTAATGTCCAAATTTAGCTGTAACAAATTCTCATGTCCCTGTGAACCAAATATACTTTAATAGTTGAACATACGTACAGTACATGAAATAGCAAAATTGATATTAACACAAGAAGGGTATATAAGATGGAACTGTTGGAATTGTTCGAATAGTACTTTAAAATTAAATTTGAGCATTTTCCTTTGACAGTATAACAAAATAGATATTTATCAGCATTTCTGCAGAATAGTTTTGTTTTCAGGAACATTTTAAGAGTACACGATGACTTCAAAGTAAACATATCAGAAAACCAGTAAAAACGACATACGTCGACGAAATTTTGGAGGATTTTCAAGGGGTTAAATATAAGCATGTTTAAATGTTGATTTCTGGTCCTTATATTCGGATAATATAAAAGTGAATATATACAATTATAGTTCAGTATGGTATCTATAAAAGCAATATATTTTGTTGTAATCGGCACATCAACTTGTAGAAATAAAAACAATTTCCATAGCCTGTGATATGGTGTACCAATTTGGGTACTATTTACGGCCGAAAAACGGACGAAATCTCACTCCGAGTTTAGCGTTCTATTTTCAAAAATAAATTACTTGGATATAAATCTTTTCCTGAAAATGAACCACCATAGGTAGTCTTTGTCAAGAATCAAGAAACATTCCAGATACAAGATCTGAATTTTTAAAGATCACTAAAAAACTGTCAAAATTGTACCAATTGTGGTAGCGTGACGTTAGATGTCAAGTTTTATTATCTGTTTCAACGTTTCGACTACAACATTTTAACCAAAAAACAACATTTTTACCATTGTTTCAGAGAATTTGTGAACACTCGCTCCGCTCGGCCATCATGAAATATAAATACTCTGTTATATAAAATATAACCTGGAATAATACTGCAAACTCAGAAAACTATTCTATGCCTTATTCGATCTGTTTGACAATGGAAATAATGTTCGATAAATTCTAGCTTTCTACGCTTGGCAGTGCTTGAATAAAAGTTTAGTATTACATTTTCAGAAAAAAGAATGCCTCGCTCTGCTCGACAGGGAAATTATAATTGTCACAATCTCAGAAATAATGAAGTTCTATATATTGTTTGGTGCCAGAAAGTAGTATACATGTACAACCGACATGACAATTATAATTTATTAGTTTTTTGAGTCTTTTTCTGAGTTTAAAATTATGGGCAACACCCAAAATTAATTCCTGGATCCCCCCCTGCTACCTGCAACCATATATAGACAACAAGGATGTGGGTTCTCTCACACTCATTTAGGAGTCCCAGTTTAAATACATAAACATAACTTAGCAATAATAGGAGTAAACAATGCAAACGTATTTACAGATTGCGAATTATAAAGAAGATCTAGATCGAGTTGCAGGTATTAGATTTCACAAATATGTATGGTGTATGGATATGTTGCACTAGGGAAAATGCATTGAGTAAAATATATACATTGAATAAATAGAATAAAATGTGAGACATCAGATTAACATGTGTGGTGATGCTTTAATACATACAGTCATACAGGTGGCCGCGGTGGCCAAGTTGTTAAACTACAATCACTGGCCCTCTAACCATGGACTGGGTCGCAGCTTTGACACCTACATTGGATAGTAACCAGGTACTGGCCGCAGTTCTGTGGTTCGGGCATGCCAGTTTTCCTCTACAACCAAAACCCGGCTTTTATTGAAATGACCATAGCTGTTATTAGGATGTCAAACACAAGCAAAGCAAACCACTATTATACAAAAATGTACCTACAATAGTTCTTTAAGGATCCCTGCCCTATACTCCCACAATAGAGGCCGCTGGTTGGCTAGATTGTCAAAAGTATCTAAATGTGTGTGTGTTTTTTATTTTATTATTCAGGACTTTGTTCATAAAGGTTGCAGAGGATGTCTATACATGCACATCTATAATGATTGGAACACAAAATTTTATATGCATTATTATTTAGATTTTATTCATCTGTACAACTGGAATCAGAGGCGGCAACTGTTATCATTTTAAAAGCACATCTGTTGTTGGGTTTTTTGGCACATGCACAAATGTAACTGTTTCAAAACAGTCAAATAAGTTGATAGTCATACAAAATATTTTGTACACTATAGATATACTGCACAGAAGATGGCCTCCGCTGGTAGGAAGCTTGCTGGCAAAGTGTGTATAGTGACTGGGGCAACTCGAGGGATAGGGAAGGGAATCGCTCTACAGCTGGGTGAGGCTGGAGCTACTGTATATATGACCGCTGGTAGGAAGCTTGCTGGCAAAGTGTGTATAGTGACTGGGGCAACTCGAGGGATAGGGAAGGGAATCGCTCTACAGCTGGGTGAGGCTGGAGCTACTGTATATATGACCGCTGGTAGGAAGCTTGCTGGCAAAGTGTGTATAGTGACTGGGGCAACTCGAGGGATAGGGAAGGGAATCGCTCTACAGCTGGGTGAGGCTGGAGCTACTGTATATATCACCGGTAAGTCTGACATATAGGTGTGTGACCCTAGTCCCCAGGGAAAGGAGAGTCACAGCTCCACAGCTGGGTGAGGCTGGGGCTACTGTATATATCACAGGTAAGTCTGACATATAGGTGTGTGACCCTAATACCCAGGGGTAGGGATCGTCACAGCTCCACAGCTGGGTGAGGCTGGAGCTACTGTATATATGACCGCTGGTAGGAAGCTTGCTGGCAAAGTGTGTATAGTGACTGGGGCAACTCGAGGGATAGGGAAGGGAATAGCTCTACAGCTGGGTGAGGCTGGAGCTACTGTATATATGAAGGGGTATGTCTGACATACAGGTGTGTGACCCTAGTCCCCAGCGGTAGGAAAGTCACAGCTCTACAGCTGGGGGGGGCTGGAGCTACTGTATATATCGCAGGTAAGTCTGACATACAGGTGTGTGGCCCTAGTCCCCAGCGGTAGGGAAGGGCACAGCTCTCCAGCTGGGTGAGGCTGGGGCTACTGTTTATATCCCAGGTAAGTCTGACATACAGGTGTGTGACCCTAGTCCCCAGCGGTAGGAAAGGCACAGCTCTACAGCTGGGTGAGGCTGGAGCTACTGTATATATGACCGCTGGTAGGAAGCTTGCTGGCAAAGTGTGTATAGTGACTGGGGCAACTCGAGGGATAGGGAAGGGAATCGCTCTACAGCTGGGTGAGGCTGGAGCTACTGTATATATCACCGGTAAGTCTGACATATAGGTGTGTGACCCTAGTCCCCAGGGAAAGGAGAGTCACAGCTCCACAGCTGGGTGAGGCTGGGGCTATTGTATATATCACCGGTTAGTCTGACATACAGGTGTGTGACCCTAGTCCCCAGCGGTAGGAAAGTCACAGCTCTACAGCTGGGTGAGGCGGGAGCTACTGTATATATCACAGGTAAGTCTGACATATAGGTGTGTGACCCTAGTCCCCAGGGAAAGGAAAGTCACAGCTCCACAGCTGGCTGAGGCTGGGGCTATTGTATATATCACCGGTTAGTCTGACATACAGGTGTGTGACCCTAGTCCCCAGCGGTAGGAAAGTCACAGCTCTACAGCTGGGTGAGGCGGGAGCTACTGTATATATCACAGGTAAGTCTGACATATAGGTGTGTGACCCTAATACCCAGGGGTAGGGATCGTCACAGCTCCACAGCTGGGTGAGGCTGGAGCTACTGTATATATGACCGCTGGTAGGAAGCTTGCTGGCAAAGTGTGTATAGTGACTGGGGCAACTCGAGGGATAGGGAAGGGAATAGCTCTACAGCTGGGTGAGGCTGGAGCTACTGTATATATCACAGGTAAGTCTGACATACAGGTGTGTGACCCTAGTCCCCAGCAGTAGGGATAGTCACAGCTCTACAGCTGGGTGAGACTGGGGCTACTGTATATATCACCGGTAAGTCTGACATATAGGTGTGTGACCCTAGTCCCCAGGGAAAGGAAAGTCACAGCTCCACAGCTGGGTGAGGCTGGGGCTATTGTATATATCACCGGTTAGTCTGACATACAGGTGTGTGACCCTAGTCCCCTGGGGTAGGGAAGGGCACAGCTTTACAGCTAGGTAAAGGCTGGGGCTACTGTATATATCACGGGGTAAGTCTGACATACAGGTGTGTGACCCTAGTCCCCAGGGGTAGGGAAGGGCACAGCTTTACAGCTAGGTGAAGGCTGGGGCTACTGTATATATCACGGGTTAAGTCTGACATACAGGTGTGTGACCCTAGTCCCCAGGGGTAGGGATAGTCACAGCTCTACAGCTGGATGAGGCTGGAGCTACGGTATATATCACAGGTAAGTCTGACATACAGGTGTGTGACCCTAGTCCCCAGGGGTAGTGATAGTCACAGCTCTACAGCTGGGTAAGGCTGGGGCTACTCTATATATCACAGGTAAGTCTGACATATTGGTGTGTGACCCTAACCCCCAGGGGTAGGGATCGTCACAGCTCCACAGCTGGGTGAGGCTGGAGCTACTGTATATATCATGGGGTAAGTCTGACATATAGGTGTGTAACCCTAATCCCCAGGGGTAGGGATCGTCACAGCTCTACAGCTGGGTGAGGCTGGGGCTACTGTATATATCAAGGGGTATGTCTGATATACAGGTGTCTGACCCTAGTCCCCAGGGGTAGGGATAGTCACAGCTCTACAGCTGGGTGAGGCTGGGGCTACTGTATATATCACAGGTAAGTCTGACATATAGGTGTGTGACCCTAATACCCAGGGGTACGGATCGTCACAGCTCCACAGCTGGGTGAGGCTGGAGCTACTGTATATATCACTGGTAAGTCTGACATACAGGTTTGTGACCCTAGTCCCCAGGGGTAGGGATAGTCACAGCTCTACAGATTGGCATGGCTGGGGCTACTGTATATATCACAGATAAGTCTGACATACATTTGTGTGACCCTAGTCCCCAGCGGTAGGAAAGTCACAGCTCTACAGCTGGGTGAGGCTGGGGCTACTGTATATATCACAGATAAGTCTGACATACATTTGTGTGCCCCTAGTCCCCAGCGGTAGGAAAGTCAAAGCTCTACAGCTGGGTGAGGCTGGAGCTGCTGTATATATGAAGGGGTATGTCTGACACACAGGTGTGTGACCCTAGTCCCCAGGGGTAGTAAAGTCACAGCTCTACAGCTGGATAAGCCTGGAGCTACTGTATATATCACTGGTAAGTCTGCCATCCAGGTTTGTGACCCTAGTCCCCAGGGGGAGGGATAGGCACAGCTCTACAGCTGGGTGAGGCTGGGGCTACTGTATATATCACGGGATATGTCTGACATACAGGTGTGTGACCCTAGTCCCCAGGGGTAGGAAAGTCACAGCTCTACAGCTGGATAAGGCTGGAGCTACTGTATATATCACTGGTAAGTCTGACATACAGGTGTGTGACCCTAGTCCTCAGGGGTAGGGATAGTCACAGCTCTACAGCTGGGTGAGGCTGGAGCTACTGTATATATCACAGGTAAGTCTGACATACAGGTGTGTGACCCTAATCCCCAGGAGTAGGGATTGTCACAGCTCTATAGCTGGATGAGGCTGGAGCTACCGTATTTATCACAGGTAAGTCTGACATACAGGTTTGTGACCCTAGTCCCCAGGGGTAGGGAAGTCACAACTCCACAGCTGGGTGAGGCTGGGGCTACTGTATATATCACAGATAAGTCTGACATATAGGTGTGTAACCCTAGTCCCCAGGGGTAGGAAAGTCACAGCTTTACAGCTGGGTGAGGCTGGGGCTACTGTATATATCACAGGTAAGTCTGATATATAGGTGTGTAACCCTAGTCCCCAGGGATCTGGTTGAGGCTGCGTGTCCTGGGGTCCTATATGTATAACAGGTAATTTTTAAGACATTTGTCTGCTAACTCAAATTACTTAATAGTAAAGCAGAAGTAAAACCAAACAAACACTCATGACATATAGGCTTGTGTCCGGTAGTCCTTGTACCCATAGGTTAAAAAGGTCATATCTCTACAGCTGGTTCAGAATGAGGCTTGCATTTCTCCTACCCTGAATAGGTGTATCTACACTTTCTCTGGTTTGAAATGTCCGTTTTCTCTCACTATTCAAATAATTATCTCCCTTTTGACCAGTTTAAGATTTCTCTGTCACCCTCCAAATTATGGAATGATTTACCCATATAGTGACATGATAAATAACAGAAAGCCACAATTAGATGATATCGTAGAACCAAAGCATTATGAAGTCAACGTCATAATGTTTGAATGAGGGATTTTACAGTGTTTTGTCATTGTGTTTAAAAAGAAAAATACTTTCAAAATACACTGTATATCTATGAATGATTTTTAATACTTTTGGGTATGACTGCACATTGGACCACATCTTTACAGTTCAAATATTTAAGTTCACTTTTTCAAAGTTTAATAAGAAATTAATTGATAATTTCAGTATTATTAGTGTATCGCAAAACAGGCAAAGAAAACAGTTTGATACGATACACAATAAAGTATCATGATAGGATTCTCTGAATCGTTTTAGTCCTAACAACAACAAGAAGATGCATAGCAGATCCATGTGGTTAAGATGCACAGGTGTGTTGTATATATCATCAGAAGCAAAAACTTACCAATTTAGGAAAATTAGGAAAATTAATTCGGAAAATTAGGAAAATCACATAACAACTAAGCTTGTACTGGTTGGAAAGTTTAAAGATTATGATTCTATATAATTTTTATGTAGCTTGGGTAATTAATATGATGATAACTTTTTTCATAAAATACAGCATTTGTGTTCATAAATCCAATAAATAGAGGATATTTAATGGTCTCTTCAGTAATAACAAATATTAGCCATACGAGTGAAATATATTTGTTATTACTGAAGAAATCATTAAATTTTCTATTAATTACATGTTTAAAGCATAAAACATGAAAAATGTAAAGCATTTAAAAAGGGCGGGAATCAAATGCATAATAATTAGCGCCATAATCTAATGACTTCACGCTTGACAACAAGGTTGCGCGCCATTGTGAATGGGATACTCAACGCAATTCCGACGTTTGCTGCTATTTTCTGGTATGATTGCTTATAAAAATGTTGTTAATTGTATATTTATGTTAATACTTAATTAAGTGTGTGTACCAAACATTTACCATAACAACCACTTATTCTACCGTCGCTTCATTTGAATCTGAACAAAAAATCTTTGCCTTTGAATGCAACGAATAAAAGATACGGGCCGTTATGACTGGTCAATACCAAAAAGTGATATTTTCACACTGTGAAAATATCACTTTTGATATTTGTTACTGTGTGAAAGATATCAGTTTTATTAAGTTGATAGAATCCGATATTTTACGGACAAATAAATCTTACTTTTTAGGTAGAACGTTAGTAGCTGCCAAAGACAATATAGCAGGGTCACTCACTGAAACTGCTAAACAGGTAAGCAATGACCTGCAGTGACCTTCAGTTCTATGTCTCCCCACGTCAGCCATGATGTTCATTGGATTTAAAAATCAGCCACTTTGTTGTCCGTTTATTTGTTTTTGAAGTGATAAAGATTAATCCAAGAAATTTTAACTTTTATCCGTTACCTCAAGATCAAGGTTACCAAAAGGGGTCAAAGGTCAAATAACTGCAATGCTTGTTCAGACTATCACTACTAACTAATAAACATCATTTGAAACTTAATGTGAATGTTTCACACATGACAAGACAATGTGTGATATATATATACCTGGTACTACACATAGATCTACTTCTTCAATGTTAAGGTCACAACAAGGGATCAAATAACCTCCGATATTTGAAGAATATGTTTTGCAACTTCTTATATATAGAATATGTATTACAGATAGAAGAGAGGGGAGGGAGGTGTATACCTGTACAATGTGACCAGTATGTAAACATTACAGATAGAAGAGAGGAGAGGGAAGTGTATACCTGTACAATGTGACCAGTATGATAACATTACAGATAGAAGAGAGGGGAGTAGGGTGTATACCTGTACAGTGTGACCAGTATGTTAACATTACAGATAGAAGAGAGGGGAGGGAAGTGTATACCTGTACAATGTGACCAGTATGTAAACATTACAGATAGAGGAAAGTGTATACCTGTACAATGTGACCAGTATGTTAACATTACAGATAGTATAGAGGGGAGGGAAGTGTATCCCTGTACAATATGACCAGTATGTTAACATTACAGATAGTAGAGAGGGGAGGGAAGTGTATACCTGTACAATGTGACCAGTATGTTAACATTACAGATAGAAGAGAGGGGAGGGAGGCGTATACCTGTACAATGTGACCAGTATGTTAACATTACAGATAGAAGAGAGGGGAGGGAAGTGTATACCTGTACAATGTGACCACACCAAGGATGAAGAGATACAGCAGCTGTTTGACAAAGTGAAGAGCGAACAGGAAGGCCAGTTGGACATCCTCGTCAACAATGCCTACAATGCAGTCAAGGTATGCCTTAGGGAGATGATTAGTATGCCTCATATATATATATATAGACTTTTTAGGTCACCTGAGCTTTAGCTCAAGTGACCTATTGCTATCCGTTTTCGTCCGTCGTCGTCCGTCGTCCGTCGTCCGTCGTCCGTCGTCCGTTATCCGTCGTCCGTTAACATTTTACATTTCAAACTTAAAGTCAAGTTCTGCTGGGCCGATTGAACTGAAAGTTGGTAGGAATGATCGCCTCATGGTCCTGACAAAGTGTTGTTATTTTTCGGGTCGATCAGAAATCCAATATGGCCGCCACGGCCGCCATTTTGAAAACCTATTTCAAACTTAAAGTCAAGTTCTGCTGGACCGATTGAACTGAAAGTTGGTAGGAATGATCGCCTCATGGTCCTGACAAAGTGTTGTTATTTTTCGGGTCGATCAGAAATCCAATATGGCCGCCACGGCCGCCATTTTGAAAACCTATTTCAAACTTAAAGTCAAGTTCTGCTGGACCGATTGAACTGAAAGTTGGTAGGAATGATCGCCTCATGGTCCTGACAAAGTGTTGTTATTTTTCGGGTCGATCAGAAATCCAATATGGCCGCCACGGCCGCCATTTTGAAAACCTATTTCAAACTTAAAGTCAAGTTCTGCTGGACCGATTGAACTGAAAGTTGGTAGGAATGATCGCCTCATGGTCCTGACAAAGTGTTGTTATTTTTCGGGTCGATCAGAAATCCAATATGGCCGCCACGGCCGCCATTTTGAAAACCTATTTCAAACTTAAAGTCAAGTTCTGCTGGACCGATTGAACTGAAAGTTGGTAGGAATGATCGCCTCATGGTCCTGACAAAGTGTTGTTATTTTTCGGGTCGATCAGAAATCCAATATGGCCGCCACGGCCACCATTTTGAAAACCTATTTCAAACTTAAAGTCAAGTTCTGCTGGACCGATTGAACTGAAAGTTGGTAGGAATGATCGCCTCATGGTCCTGACAAAGTGTTGTTATTTTTTGGGTCGATCAGAAATCCAATATGGCCACCACGGCCGCCATTTTGAAAACCTATTTCAAACTTAAAGTCAAGTTCTGCTGGACCGATTGAACTTAAAGTTTGTAGGAATGATCGACTCATGGTCCTGACAAAGTGTTGTTATTTTTCAGGTCAATCATAAATCCAATATGGCCGCCACGGCCACCATTTTGAAAACATATTTCAAACTTAAAGTCAAGTTCTGCTAGGCCGATTGAACTGAAACTTTGTAGGAATGATTGACTCATGGTCCTGACAAAGTGTTGTTATTTTTCAGGTCGATCAGAAATCCAATATGGCCACCACAGCTGCCATTTTGGTAAACTATTTCAAACTTAAAGTAAAGATCTACTTGGCCGATTGAACTGAAACTTTGTAGGAATGATCGAATCATGGTCCTGACAAAGTGTTGTTATTTTTCGGGTCAATCAGAAATACAATTTGGCTGCCATGGCCGCTATTTTGCTACTAAGTTCTAATAGGCCGATCTCACTTAAAATTGGTCTAGGAATGATCAGCTCATGGTCCTGACAAAGTTAAGTTAACATTATACTATTTTTTACTCAAATTGGTACATATTTCAACAACAAAAATAAATACTATAGACTCAGGTGACCGTTAAGGCCCATGGGCCTCTTGTTGTATTTGTGAAAACCTCAGTTTAAGTAGAGGCATTAAGTTATGTGATGCAAAATAACTTTTGCAGTTGTACCTGCATAAACATTTGACTTTTGGAAAAGTTTTATACAACGAAAGTGTGAAGTTTTAAAAAATACTTCTATTAATAAAGGTGATACTTTATACCTTAAAGGGGTTAAGTCAAATGTGCGACCTCTTGGATTAATACACTCAGGAAGGAATTCAATAATTACATGTATATGGAATCATTTTGTTACTTTCAGGAAAAACAAACTTTTTTTCATTTTTGTAGGCTATTTTTGACAATTTGAAGGTGCCGTTTTGGGAACTCCCAAAGGATATGTGGGACACTGTCAACAATGTGGGGCTCAGGTAATACTGTCACTGGTTCTCCTATGTAGGTTTGACTCGTAATGTGTGATGTAATTGAACACACCAAATTTTCAAACATCTTCGTGACTAGCCTATTACGAAGAATGCAAAGGGTTTGTATTCTGCATATTTGCTAGGCCTAAATGATAAAAAATATTTGAAGATATTTACAATGGATTGATGTTGCATTTGATTGTAGATTTGAATCAGTAAGCCCTAAAAACAGAATAAAGGGTAGGGCCAGGGCAGCCGGTAAGAATTGTGAATATGTATTACTATGGAAATGTTGATTGGTCACTTACTTAACCGTTTGTTTCTCATTGGTTATGTTGTCAAGTAACAAAACAGTTGTTTTATGCCTTAACAGTCAACGGTCAAAACTATTTGACCATAATCAACATTTTGGGTTACAGTAATTTTGTCAACACTAATATTAATATAATTAATATATTAATATTGCCATCACTGTGGGGCATTGCACATGTACTAGTAACACTAAGTTAGGGTATAACACTATTTAGATTTTATTATAAAGTCATCACTGTGGGGCATAGCACGTGTACTAGTAACACTAAGTTAGGGTATAACACTGTTTAGATTTTATAATAAAG